TATTTTATTTATTTATGTCAAGTAGAATCGCGAAAAAGATCGTATAGCGTGTCGGCTTAAAGTGTTTTTACACGTTAACACATTTTACACATTAACAGTGGCCAATCTTTGGATACTACTAAGTACTCCTAGGATAAGGTCAATTAGACAAAATAATTAGAGACAATTTGGACGTAGACATACTATAATTTTGTAGGCCACGCGTGACGTCACGCACGATATTTCAAGTTCACGCACATAACGTGTTTAGTTGTTATTTAGCAAAGACAGAGCAACCATCCGAAAATATTAATAACGAGTGACTCTGAACTTCTCTCTTAATCTCTCTGACTCTCTCTTCGCGCGCACACAGCATAGGCTACAGAACACCAAAGGTAGTCTTGCGCTCAAGGGTGGTCATTTGTTCCTTAGCAACAGCTTGTGAGAGCAGCACATTAATTGGTGTTAGTTTTAATGTTTGTTGACGGCCCTCGTTGATGGGACTTCTCATGCTCCCTAAATGTTTCCCCTGCCTTTCGCCAGTTGTTAAACCCTCCTTTAACAAAACTCCCATCCCTGTTCTTGTCTGCACTGACAAGCTTCTTTTCTATAGCAGAGCAACAGAAGAAGCACACCGCATTATCATTTTATTTTATAGAGTGAAGCCATGTCCACTGTTTAAACCAGCCTGAATTCAAGGATTGGGTGAATGTTTCCTTTCCGAACCGCCTGGCAGGGAATGTAAAGTCCTTGGGCTGGCAAGGCTCTTCACCGAGGGCAACTGAGATGTTGTTAGCTGCTGGACGGGGGGCAACGTCGTTAACAAGAGCCGCGGCCGCGGGTGTTCTCTCCTCTGGGCTGCTGGAGTGACAGTTGTCTGTGTCCACATGCAGGGACTCCGAGTCGATAGGGTTTTTTGGTTGTTTGGCTTTGGGACCATTAAAGAAATCTAATATTCGTTTTTGAGACATAGTAGTATAGCAATACTAGTAGCAGACTATTACTTGTCAATTCAACTTCCTCAACCGTGATTTTTCGCGCACAACGTTATTTGTTATGATATTTTCTGTGTAGTAAAATGTAGCTTCACGTCGGGCCGAACCACGCCCCTTAGCTGTGATATAATGAGCATATACCACGGCCTGTCGTGAGCTATTGCTTAAACATATTAAAGCATTTTGTGATGTTCTTTTTTTAAAACATTACTCTGGTTTTCTTTGCTAACTGAACAGTCTGTCAAGTAACCAACGTTTGTTCGCACAGAAAAGGGAAATAAAACAAATGTCATAGCTGACATCATTTTTGGCTCTTGGACGTTGATTCAGCTGGCAATAGCATCAGCTGTGGTTGCAGTGAGTCTGTGTGTGCGGTGTGTGTGCCCAGTTAACAGAAAGATGTACATTTGAGGTTTGGTGAGTCATTTCCACAGTTTAGCCTTTTCATATCCAATCGGTCATCTGAGAGTGATGAGTCGCTAGGACTTTTTCCACCCACTTAATTTCGACATCTTCGGTCTTTTTTCCTTTCTAAATCTTTTATCTCCTGGTGTTAAGGCTTCTGTTATTTAGTTACGACATATAACTATTTTTGGTACTTGACATTGATTTGGATTTGCACTGATCATAAATCTAAGTGTGCAATGGGTAAATTCTGTAGATGTGCAGATTAATCACTGGATAACGCTTTGACCTAGTGGGGGTGTTAATAGAATAGTCGAGTGTACAAAATGTATAGATAAACCATCAAATAGTTATTGGAGATATTTCAGTCTGGACCTAAGTGGTGCCGGCCTCAAAGCCGCGCCACCAGCTTGGCTAAAAACACATAATAGTTGTATAAGAAGAGAAACACTTCCTCCCAGTGTAATGGAATGTGTGGCATCTGGGTCATTGTCCAGAGTGGGCTCGTTTAGTTTTTTAACCTGGAACATCGGGTCAGGATCATCCCACTGACGGGAATCCCACCCCTCTACATTCCTGGAAATGTGGATGTCTCTCTGAACTGTGTGTGTTTTGTCTTGTTTTTTTTGTTGTCTTTGTGACTCTGTTCCTCTGCCCTTTTTGTCAAAAAGCATCACCAGCTCAGAGAGCTTTATCCGGTGCTATTCTCTCACACTTCAATCCAGAGAAAAAAAGTTCAGGATACATTCATAAGCAGAAGTCTCCCATCACAGTGTCAAATGTATTGTTTCGTTTTTTTATGTATCTCTTTATTTATACATTCTGTTAGGTTGTCTTACTGAGCGGCCATTTGGACAGTTGGGATGTGGGTCAGGGCGCCATGGATGATGGAGGCGGAGCCATGATTTCCTGGGAGGCCCTGTCACTCATCAAGGAATTAGGTAATATAGAAACAGACACTGTATAAACAAATGTACCGTCCAGATAAACTTCCACAAAACGAACAATGTTTCATACTGCAGAGATAGATCCAAAGTATACAGACGGCAGCAAGCCTACACAAGCTCAGAAGCAAACAATGTCAAGTAAATGATTGACTTTATTATTTAGCTTTATGCAACCTCCTTCTTTTTAAACAAATGACAACAACTCTAACAGTTAGTAGGACAGAATATACTAAAGCTCCATAATCAAATGGAGCAAAACTACATTTTCTACATGGGTGTTTCAACAAACTTCAAGGAAGTATTCCATTTCTGACTAAGGGACAAGTTACAAAACAATTCCTCCGAGTGTAAACAGTCATTTCCTCCAACTGTAGAGGAACACACAGAATAAGGGAACACGCTTGGATATACAGTACAGTATTCTTCTGGACAAAATAATGCATCAGAAAAAGTGGGGACATGATCATCAAACCAACAGAATCAGATCCAGTGATGAAAATTGTAGTCTGGAATATATATAGCCTACTAGTTATCTAAAGAAAGGTTAAAAAGACCATTCATCACTAAACATGGCCGTTTTGTTAATTGGAGCTGCACTCTTTCTCCTCTTAAATTATTTCTAGCTTATTGTGTTGATTTTAATCTTAATTTATTTCTAGGTTTGCGTCCAAGGAGAACCCTGCGGGCGGTGCTGTGGACCGCTGAGGAGCAGGGGGGGGTCGGGGCGCAGCAGTACTTTGATCTACACAAGGTACTGTATACTACTACTGCAGTACCTGACAGAAAACTCACAGTAAAAGCAGTAAAGCTTATCATTACTACTGGTAAGAAGCAGGATGTTTCTTATGAAGAAATGAATATGGATTTTTGTTTTATCTTTATAAACAAACATTTGTTTTTTATGTGTTTATGCTTTCACCATGCTTAGTCCCCTTCCCCTATGTTCTTCTTCTCTCCCACACAGGTGAACATGTCGAACTTTGACCTGGTCATGGAATCTGACTTGGGGACATTCACCCCGGAGGCTCTGCAGTTTAATGGCGGTGATGCAGCACGAAAGGTTAGGATTGAAAAACAAGTCACAAGATCATCAGAATGTATTTATTTAGGTTAAAAAGTCTGTATTTTTTTTAAATACAAGATTCTGGAAGGTTTGGTGAATTAGTGATCAGTCCAGTAAATCTGATGTTTTATGTTTGACTTCCTAGATTGAACATTTTAAACTCCAGATTGAACCTTGCATTTACAGTAACCTTAGTATAGTCTCTGTTGAGCATGTAAATGCTGAAGATCCACAGGATGACTCGTCTTTTATTCATGCGGTTAGATGGTCTCTTAATATTTACAATGGGTTTGTAGTATGGTGTCTGAATAACAAAGGCCATGTAATATAAACATTAGTAAATCTCTGAAATAGAATACTTAATTTGAGCGAGCCTTGTTTGAAATTGCTGGTGTACAACAGATTGTGTGAAAAAGCACTAAACTGTATCCGTACCAACAGGTGATGGCAGAAGTGGTTAAACTGTTGGCTCCCATTAATACGACCAAACTGGAGGCACACGGAGAAGGGACAGACATCTCCCCGTGGTTAAAGGCAGGAGTACCAGGTCAGTTAAATCAATATGTCTATTCTATCTGTCTGCCACTAGCAACAAATGATCATGATAGGATATTTTATATTATAACAGAAAATGCAGAAACACTCAAATGAGAAAGTAACTCATCCTTATTTATGTGGTTCTGGTTTAATACCTTCTCTTAAAGTGCTGTTTATACAGAATCACATCCTCATTTATGAACTTAGACACAGTACAGTACAGGGAAGTAGGTAAAGCAGATACTTGAAACGTACTTTTAGTTTAGCAGTAAGGGGGAGATACCGTAAAAAGCCATGACGAAAAAATGTATATTGATTTTGGATTTATTGAATAGATGATTGTAGAAACAGATTGAACCCTCACCATTCATGTACTTAATATCTGACAGTGTATTCCTTTTATTGTGGCTTTAAGATATTTGAATCTGACTAGCTTATATAGAAGTGAAATTGCAACGTAAACGGAAAGATGTTGTGTATCTTATAGACAGGTTACCGTAAACACATTTGATTTGAACTTTTTAGTACATACCATCTTCAAATCAGAAACTAGGAGAACTAGTTGAGGGAGAAATCCATGTGTGCTATTGTCAGGTGAGATGTAGAGGACACTTTTACAGTAGTTGAGATAGGAAATTGATTTACTAAGGGACATCTTAATAGTAATGTTTGCAGAGGAACTGAAAACCAAAATATAAGATAAGACCAATTGAGCAACTACACATGATGTACTCATTGTGTAAGTACTGTCTACAATAGCACTATTTTAGACAGATGTTCCTGTTTAACCTTTTGCTCAATTATAATAATTAGCTGCACGGCCACTTTGTTTCATGACACTTTAAATAAAATAAAAATGTTCTTGACTCTAACAGTTAAAGATTGGGTTTGTCTTACAGTTTGTGACCCGAAATCTTCCAGTAACATGATATTGTACAATTTTACAGATGCGTTTTTTTTATTGTTCTTTATTGACTGGCATTTTTATTTTGTCTTGAATTCAGCTTCATTGAAATTCATTCTGTTGAAGCTGAAATGAATTTGACATGTTTAGAACATATTGTAAGCCTTTTATCAATTGTATGTTGAATTATCTTGCCTACAAGCAAGGTCTTTTTTACAACATCAAAAACAGGGCTTAGTAGATTCCCTCCTGAGTGTGTGCTAACAATATGAACATTAAACTACAAAAGAATAATAAACAAACACAACACATTATGAATAAAGAGAACTTTGTTTTATAACAACACATATCGAACATGTACTGTATGTTTTTCCTATAAAAATGAAAAAGATAATCATCTCTGAACACAGCAAGTTAAATGACGAAACCTGTGAGATAGGATCCGGCCACCGACAATTCACAGGTTAAAGATTAAATCTCAGTTTTCCTGTTGGCCTGCTCGAAATACTTTTCGGCACACATAACCAGTAGCTCCAAAAGCTACATTTAAATCTGTATGGACACATCTTTTCCCTTTTGGTTACTGTTTCAACATGAAATACAGTAAATGAACCAGCTTCAAGCTGCAGGAAAAAGCACATGTAGAGCTGAAACTGAACCTGGTAGTCAAAAAAGTGTCCTTTTGGGTAAATATCAAAGATTTCACATTCCCCTGATACACTTGTACATTTTAAATTCAGCATCCCTTGATTAGCAATGATGGTGAAAAGCTGTACCGATCCATATCAGTTTGCCTCAGTCCTGATGGATTTTTTGATAGTGAAAATAGGAATTAGTTTGTTTCTATCTTTGTGGTTCCGGTAGCTATTGCACTATCCAAACTTCTTCTCCTACCCTGTCTAGTTTCGAGAAGTGAAACAGCACTGTTCTCAGAAAAAAACATTGAGGTATAACTATATAAAGAAGAGGAACAACGAGTTAATAAAAACACATTACACATTTAGCCAGGCAGACCACAAACCCCATTTTTAAAGCAGTAACCAAATGGGAGAATGAGTTGCCTAAAGGCATTCAGTTTTCTACAGTATTATTAAACAGTTCCAATGGAGCGGCTGAAGTCCTGCTGCCTTGCTCAAAGAGTCCACATTCATGTTGAATTCCCTGGTTCATTAATCCCCATAGACGAACAGCCTTCTGAGGGGCCTTCCTCCTCGTCTGATAGGCTGAGTCGAGGTCTCTTTGGTGGTCTCTTAACCATGGTTGGTTGTAGGAGCAGCAGTGGACTGTCCAAGGGGAAGGTGGGGGTGCAGACACCACAATCTTTGCCGGGCACTCTCGCTTGGGTGGCTTCAAAGTAAAGACAAAGAAACAAGTCATTATGTCAGTAGAACATTCATGAGAACACTTAGTATTATCATTTTAAAGTAGTATTAAAGTTAATACACAAAAAAAGGAAACAACATTTTACACATAGCTACTTGATGATGTGTAGGACTACAAACCTGTGCTGCGAACGGGATTCTGCAGAGTTCTCTTGGATAACTGTGTGCCGACTGATCTTCTCGTTAGAGGTTCTGTTTTTATGGATAACTGAGTGTCTGATATTATCTCTGGAGGGTCAGTCTGGGAGGCTACGTGTCGTACAGCAGGCGAAGTTTGACAGAAACTGTCCCCAGTACCCTAAACGTAGGGAAACAGTGACACTTTATACATCCATCATCACAAATATCTTTTAAAATAACATGCTAAAATATTGAATGCGAGTTTCAGGTTGGTTATTCCACAGATATTCCCTCTGGTCTTCTTACTCATATTCATATCTGTGCATTGCTCTCCTTAGGCAATACAATCCAATGAATCAACAATTTATCCTACTTGCCCAGTGAAGAAATAGTATTTTGAATGGATTCGGAGTCATTGGTTCACTTGACATGGAAGCAATCGAAAGAAAATGAAATTGTCTTTAGACTTTCAAAACACTTTTGTAAAATGAGTATGCCAATCGGTAACTTAAAAAAATACACCTTTATTATAGATGTGTCGCCTAATCTTTCACTAATATGGAACATTTAGTAGGTTAGCAAAACTAAATGTCTAATATCAGGCAAGCTCAGAAACCAGAGTGTGTTAAATATAAATAAAGGGACGCTATACTGTATGATAATGTGCACACAGTAGCCTATGTGCTTATTTTGCATATGCTGGGTTGGAAGCCTCACCTGTGGCACCACTTGTGCAGAGGTAGGGACAGATTCAGGGTTTATGAGAAGATGCTTTTTAAATTCCATTTCCAGCTCTGCATAATTGGAGAAGTTCTCGCGCGTAAAGTGGAGATAGCACACGTAAACAGAGGAGGGGGGGGTGTCGAACCGACCCAGAGCCTGCAGCCAGCGGTGGGCCAGCTGCGGGTCGGGGGGTATGGGGTGCAAGCCCTCCGTGCTCCTGCAGTCCGGATAGGAACATTTTCGATCCATGTTGGCCCGCTGAATGACACGAGAGGATAAGCTAACCAAGCTAAAAACGAACCAACGTCAACTCCTCTCATTTGATTAGAGGCGAAGTCACGCCCATCTAGTTCCGGTTGGAAATGCATTGATACCTGCTTTACTGTCACCTGCTGGACTGGAGTGTACGTTTAAAAAATAAAATAATCCATTGACAAAACTATCCCACCCTAATGTTCGCTTACTAGAATGGTCTGGTGCTTTCAACCACATCACATGATCTTCAATTTTCCAATCTGAGTTAGTTTGGAACCGTAACGTGCATGCTGTGTTTCTGACAGGATACAGATGATGTGTTGGATAGGGGCTGAGCTCAGTAGACTGACTGTAATGAGTGCTAGCCTGTTGCTGGAGGACAACAACAACAAACCAACGGTGCTTTAGCTCGGTTTTACTCGTGGTGTGTCTCCCCCCTCCCCCATAGATCCTAACAGTCGTGCACACACACAGTACACCCATTTAAATTCATGTGCGCTAACAAGTAAACACATAAAAGCTTTTACATATAACGTTGCAAAAAACGGTGTGTCTCATTAGCGTAGCGTAGCTTACAGATCGATGATACTTGTGTTATCTGCTACGGCGTGGCTTTACAGCCTTCACACAGATCGCAATTGCGGCAGTATGTCTGAGCATGTTATCAAATGCCCGATAATTAAAATAAAAGCAAAGACCGCGGAGCGTAAAAAATGAAATGTTACAAAAACATATAAACACCTAACCGATTACTGTTTGGGTTTGAGACGACATTGATACGGTGAAGTTACATGCTACAAGCTAGAATAGTGTTCAGGGAAAACACCGCTAAATAAAAACTTACAGCTTCCACATTGGATCTGGCCTCACTGGCCTGGTCCCGGATGGTGGGTATTGATCCCGGTTTTAGCCTTAGTCTGGAGGCAAATCCTTCTTTGACTTGAGCGAAGTTCATAAACATGTCCGGGGCAAAATGTTCTGAACACACAAGCAGAAATCTGTTGTAGTCTTCTGGCACGTGTCCCTGGAAAATAAACTCTAGCCACAGATTCCTGTATTTTTCCAGAGATGGCAGTGCATGCAGTACCTTGCCCTTGTTCAGATTATTGCAGCCAACAACAACACAACGTTTAACTCCCTTGGACGACATCGTTGTTAGAGTACGCAAAAACATAGATGTGACTGGGGGAGCTTTAGTACGGTGGCCGGCAGGTGCAAACGCGGAACAAAGGGCCAAAAACGCTTACATAAGCAGGAAACAGCTGCAAAAAATGAAATTAAAAACAAACAAATCCTGAAAACAAATACAACCAAAATACGCTGCATTTACAGAAGTGATGTAAACTAAATACAACACACAAACCCCGAAAACAAACGCAACAGAAAAACGCTGCAAAGTCAAAAACACATACAAACCCCAAAACACATACAAATCCCAAAACACACAGTGCTCCAGGCCTATAGGGGGCGCGCTACGTGGAACAGAATGATGTCTGACCAGAGCCCCAGAGTACGGTACCGAAGTGGGTCGTTCGAGAGTATTTGTAGTCCCAGTCCGCCCCTGGTATGCACCTATCATTATTGATAGCCAGTCTGAACCAGAAGACAAAATGGTGCCTCATTCGACCCCTCTCATTCGACGTCAGTTAAGTTCACTGATGATGAGGGACAAACTGAGGATGGAGTGGACACTGGTGGTCCCAAGCGTGAGTTCCTGACCCTCCTTATGGAATGCCTGAGAATGCGAAGAAAACATCATCTCATAGCAACTGTTTGTGCCCCATGGCGGTGTGACTTTCCCAGCCGCTCACTGTCTCAAAATCTGATTCTAAATGTATAATGTTCTCCTATAAAGATATAACTAATACACAATTATTCATGTATAATATAAGCTGTTTTGTGTATTTAATCATGCATTGGTCTACAATTTAATGATGGCTTCTACATATTTCACATAAACAGACAATGAAAAAATGTGTCCTTCATGCTGATAACTAGTGTATGCATCTGCCAATTAGTATTCTAAACAGAGTAGTGTGTTGAATCCTTATTTCTTGCATTTGAAACAGATACAATACAAAAAAAGTGAACTTACTGTTGTGTTCAACTTCTGCCANAGGCTCCGTCCTCCGTGTATTATTCTTATATTATTATATAGAGTCGTTATTCATTTGTTTTAAAGCTCAATAAATAACAAAGAAGACCTTTGACCGGCACTTTACTAATTTTGTCCGGAAGATTTAAACTTAAACGGGCATGTTGACTGGCGAAAAAAAATCTAGTTCATAAAGATGTCCGTGGTAAAATGTTTAGAACACACAAGCAGAAATCTGCTGGAGTTTTCTGCCACAGATTCTTGTCTTTTTCCAGGGATGGCATTGCATGCAGTCCCTTGTCCCGATTCTTGCAGCCAACAACAGCACAACGTTTAACTCCCTTAGACATCCTGGCAAGAGCAGGCAAAAACACAGATGTGACTGGGGGAAATTTAGCTTTCCGACAGCCTATATGCGAATGAGAGGTTGGGCAGTGGCCGTGGCCCAACCCCACATTCCCCTGATAGGTGGAGAGTTGGCCCAATATCCGTAGCGCCACCGTCCTGACGTCAGGACAGTGTTCAAATCTGGATCAGTCTGTATCAGATCCGTTGCAGCCCCTTTTTTAGAGACTTGGGTATGGAGGAAAAGAGAGAGGGTTGTGTTTTCTGACACTTGGTGAGTTCCCTGACACACCGTGGACTAGGGATGGGAACGATTAATCGAAATTATTCAGGTATTCAAATAATTATTCATGTATTCGAATGTGAGTTATTAATATTTTTATGAATTTTTTTCTTTTTCTTTTTTGGGAGGGATGCCTAAGTTCAGTGCATGACATTAAGGATTTTGGGAGATGGCCCTGTGGGCCATCTGAGCTAATTTACAGATGGCCCTGGGCCATCTGTAAATTAGCTCAGATGGCCCACAGGGCCATCTCCCAAAATCCTTAATGTCATGCACTGAACTTAGGCATCCCTCCCAAAAAAGAAAAAGNGCAATAATCATGCTGTCTAATCAGCATCTTGATATGCCACACCTGTGAGGTGGGATGGATTATCTCGGCAAAGGAGAAGTGCTCACTATCACAGATTTTTTCAGATTTGTGAACAATATTTGAGATAAATGGTTATTTTGTGTATATAGAAAATGTTTTAGATCTTTGAGTTCATCTCATGAAAAATGGGAGCAAAAACAAAAGTGTTGCGTTTATATTTTTGTTCAGTGTATATATATTGTATATTTGCTTGTTTATCAACAGTAACAGCTGACACAGTCTAACCCTGCCCAGTCTTTCCATCTTATAAACCATATTTTACACGTTTAAAAGACTAATATACTGTTTCAGTAGTGGCAGCGGGCTGTGTGATAGTTATTGTTCTCATAAAGCTCTCAGAGAATTGGAGAGTGATCTGGCCTTTATAGTTGTTCCACTGTGAAGTTTATACATTCATGTCCACGATGATGGATTAAGAAGTGAACTGTGTCACTGACCAAAGCTATTTGTCTATATTGAGATGTCGTAAAACATGCTGTTAGCCACTACATTCATAATGAATAGGAACTTTATGGATGTATTGTCTTAGGCCAGAATAACACAGTTCTAACAGCTTCTGACTAGTCATGTTAAGGAAACATCATCTGCTAAAAGTAGCAGATGACTGAGACATCACTTCCTCCATCAACCAGATTTATTTTATATAAATGTATTCCAGTCAAATGTTTATTTTTTGTCTCGCCTGTTAATCTCAACCAAGCAAGGACTAGCTGCTGCCTCCCTTACCACAATACGAGGAGAATACAATATCATTTCAGCTGCGTTTGACTTTATATTTGGCTTTGTCATTGTGACTAGCAAAGAAATATTTCAGTTGACAAATATTTCTCGATAGATATGAGGTCTACAAACATCATTTTATAATATGCCATAAACATGTGTCATAAAAGATGTTGAAGTAACATTAATGATTTAAAATATCATAGTTAACTATACAGATGAATAAGAGGTATGGACCAAAAATGTGCCGCTATAGACAAAAATAGGAACTGTTGAATACTTTCATAATTATGTCATAGGTTATATTTCTCAAAATATAATTCACTTACATTGTAATGTTATCTGCACATGTTATAGTCACTTTCAAATGAGTATGCAGTCTTTCAACACATATCAAGTATTATGTGGTAAATCACTGTAATTATGAAACGGCAGAACATTTTATTATTTATTATATCATTGTATTTATTTTTCCCTCACAGAGCATGTTATTTCTGGGTTAACTCTGAACACCTTTGTCGTTACTACCGATTTCTATGTTGGACATCTTTATTTATACTTTCTTGTGAACAGAAAGTGGATTAAAGATCTGACATTTGTTTTCCTCCTCCCAAACATTTTATTTGAATATCTTAATATTTCAATGGGAGAAATGTTTTGTAATCCTCAGGGTGTGTGCATTTCTTCCTCTGAAGAGAGAAGCAGAAATCCAACACTCATTTTTCAGTGGGGGGCGTTCTGTCTTTGGTGTGTTTGGGTTTTCCTCCTGATGTGAGGTGTAACATCTCCTCCCTGTGTCCCCCCCTCCCTCTGTCTCTTCCTCTTTCTGCCTGAAGCTCAACAGGACTATGGGAATGATTACTGAGGAACATTTCTTCAACCGCCCTCCTCTCCTCACCTCCCTCCACGCCCTGTACAAAACACTAAAAACTGAGGAAATGGATAAGTTACTCCTACAAGGCCACCATATTAGTGGATAATTACGACTCGTGACCCCAGTGTTTAACCTCGAGTCCCTGCAGCAGTGGGTTTCTTTTTCAGAGACCAAATAACTTTGAAACCAACACTTTGTTTTTGCAGTTATTCCTGTAAAACGGCAACAAAACCTGAACCCATTTAAAGTTAGAGAGTTGATTTTTAGTCAACTTCCTGTCCTCATTTTGGTCCTGTATAGGTGTTTAAAATCCTTCAATTCACCCGATTTTCAGTCTTTATGCAAACAATGCTTTATGATTCACCCTATATACAGAAACTGGATTCATTTCTCCTGTCAGTTAACTTTATTGATAAAATTGGATGGTTAATCCGGCTGCTTCATCATCTAACAGTCTGTGAGAAAGAAAGGGATTCTTTTACCTTCCCACAAGACCAGACAAAACCCCAGAATAACGCTGCGGCGATGATCCCTGTGCCATCTGTCAACAAACGCTGCTGCACACAATGGTTTGCTGCAACAGCCTCCGCTTTAAACTCAAAGCTCTTGAAAGCTCATCTCCTCTTTTGAAGCCTGCTGGTTCAGCTAAATAGTGATGAATAGCTTTGATGCTGATTGGCTGCATTCATTACTGAAGTCCCCCTCTTATCCGAACATCTCTTGTACTGTAAACTGGGCAAAACATTTACCTCTAATGTGACCCAGATGTGATCCTTCTGGATAAATGTTCACATCTGACGAATCCGGGGTAAAGTCAGACTTATCTTACATTTCTTTAACCAACTTCCTCATTAACCAAAACTTTTAGACTATTGCGGATTCCAAATCTGCCTGTGCAACTCTGTTTTATAACCTTTAATAGCACGCTACCTTCTTATTGCTTTAAGTGATGATGGTTGTGGCATTTAAAATGGTTGTGGTCTCAAAGTCAGCCTTAACTTTGCTCCATGTTCCCTGTGGTGGTGGTTTTATGTTAGCGGAGTTCAGAAAAGCTAACTGACAAATATTCCCACCATCCCAGTCCAACCCCTGCCTAACGGCGGCTA